GCCCCCTGGAGCTGTGGGTGGACATGTTCCCCATGGACATGCCGGCCCCAGGGACGCCTCTGGACATCTCGCCCCGGAAGCCCAAGAAGTGAGCGGCCCAGGGCCCAGCCCCCACCCCGGCACCCCCACCCGCCCATTCACTTCCCACCAGGGCCCAGTGCTTCCTGAGGAGGAGGCTCAGGGCCAGATGTCCTCGGTCACTTGGCTTGGTTCCCTGGGCCCTGGGTCTGCCCGCCAGGCCTTATCAGGGAGACACGGCATTGCAGGGCCTGCTCCGACAGGTCCTCACTGGCCAAGGCAGGGCCACCTTCTCCCCTCTGCCCCCAGGGAGGAAGCCGAGTCACACTCCGGCACCCCATGGACGTGGTAGACATTCTCACATACACGCGCACTCGTGTGTACAGCACTGCCACGGCACGCACACGCATTCCCACACACGCGCACTCGTGTGTACAGCACTGCCACGGCACGCACACGCATTCCCACACACGCGCACTCGTGCACACAGCACACCCCGAGTGCCTGCTCTGTGCTCAGCGCTCAGCACGTCGCTAAGTTCTGCAAACGTCCTTAAAGTGCCTGTGAAGTCCTGTGCAGGAGGGCATGCCCGGGAGAGGCAGGACGTGGCAGGGTGGGGAGAGCGCTGGGTCAGGAGCCAGGCCACCTGCGTCTCCTGGGTGACCCTGGCCAGGTCACTCTGTCTTCCTTGTCATCAGATTTCTCATCCGTAAAGTGGCAGGATCGCATCGCTGCCAGCTCTGACCCCCCCATTGCCTGGACTCGGGGCCAGCTTGGTGGGCAAATGAAGCTACCCGGGGCCCTGCACTCAGAGGAGACCTTGTTTTCATGCTCTGAAGCTGCTACCTTGATGTTCTTAAGATTTGTTTTTAGAATTATTTATTTAATTTTATTTCTTATTATTACTTAATTTGCTACAGGACACATGTACTCACCAGAGAGAGAGGGAAAGTGAGAAAGCAAGCCACTAGGTCTAGGTCTCAAACTGCGGTCAGCCATGTGGGAGTCCAGCACCTTAACCACCACTCCACCTGCTATCCTTAAGATTTTTTTTAACAAGGAACCCTGCGTTTTCATTTTACTCTGAAATGAGCAAATTATGCAGCCAGCTCTGTCTGTAATAGCCTCTAAGGGTGAGGCCCTCAGCCTGCGGTTACAGGTCCTACCACTAGGGGCGCCCAGCCCACTGCATGGCTCTGGACTCGCAGTCCAGGGGTCCAGGGCGGCAGAATTCAAGGAGAGCCACTGCCCTCCAGTTTTGTTGGATGACTCAACCTCACGCCTAATGGTTGAAATGTAACTACCTCATTTATAATTCCTAGTTTATAATTGCATTAAACCTCAAGGAGAACTCTTTATTAGAGACAAAAACATGCAGGAAACCAGATTCCATGGACTTCCGTTCCAGGCTGCTGCACATAAATGCAGACTTAGAACTGGAGTGAAGCGTCTGCCCCTGGAGAGAGAACTTACTTCTGACTCTCAGGGCTTTACTTAGTGCCACCCGCTCCGCGGCAATTGGCCGCCTCCCCTCCCTGTCCTTCCCTGTCTCTGCCTGTCCTTAGGCACCACCCTCCCCCTTAGGGCTCTGGTCCCCCCCACCCCAGTCCCCCCAGGGCAAGGGCAACATCTCACAGCAGCCCTGTATCTGGCCATCCCTCCTGCTCTCTCTGGGGCCCGTCTACACTTTCCACACAAGCCTGGCCCTGGCCCTGTGCTCGCCTGGGGAGAAGTCCAGTGACATTTTTGTGCGGGGGTGGGTGAGCAGTCCCTGCGTGGGCAGGGCTGAGCTGGGAGAGCCATTCCCCTGGGTCATAGGCTAGGAGGGGGAGGAGCAGGGGGCTGTGGGTGGGGAGAGAGATCCCTGGGGGTGGGCGCAGGTCTTGAACATGTGGCCCGCAGGTGGCTGAAGGGCCAACAGGAGGACAAGCAGGACACAGACGTCCACTACCACTCCCTCACCGGCGAGGGCAACTTCAACTGGCGCTACCTGTTCCCCTTCGACTACCTGGCAGCCGAGGAGAAGATCGTCATCTCCAAGAAGGAGTCCATGTTCTCCTGGGACGAGACCGAGTACAAGATCCCCGCCAGGCTCACCCTGCAGATCTGGGATGCCGACCACTTCTCTGCCGACGACTTCCTGGGTGCAGAGTCGGGAGGGGTGGGGGCCTGTGACCCAGGGCTGAGGAGGGGCAGGGGTGGGCTAGGGAAAGGGTGTGCCCCCTCTAGGAGGAGAGGGCGGGTGCAATCCTACCCAGCCTGTCAGAGCCAGAGGTAGCAGATGGTGAGCCTGCCCCCTCAGCATCCCCCTAACCTGCCTAGGACAGGTGACCTCAGTGTCATAGCCAGGGCTGCAAAGGGGCTTTGGGCACACCAGGGAGGGGGCCGTGAATGCTGGTGAGGGGGTCAGCAAGGAGTCAGGAAACTTCCCTGGGCCTCAGGCAGCTCCTGTGAAGCGAGGTCTCCTCTGAAACTGTCCGTATCTGCAAGCTTGTGAGCTTAGGCCTTCGACCTGAGTGGACGCAGAGAGCGGGTGTGAGGACAGACGCCCAGCAGACCTTCCAGGCCGAAGGAGGGTCTGAGCAGTGGGGGTGTGTGGCTGCCCTGAGCTAATGACCCCCCTCGCCAAGCCCAAGCAGCTAATGAGAGGCAGGAGGACGAGATCCCACTGGAGGGCAGAGACTTGCCCCTGCCTCCTGCACCCAGAACTGACCTTGAGGTTGCCACAGGCGCCATCGAGCTGGACCTGAACCGGTTCCCGCGGGGCGCGAAGACGGCCAAGCAGTGCACCATGGAGATGGCCACCGGGGAGGTGGACGTGCCCCTCGTCTCCATCTTCAAGCAGAAACGCGTCAAAGGCTGGTGGCCCCTCCTGGCCCGCAACGAGAACGACGAGTTTGAGCTCACGGTGGGCACCGGCCCTACCTGGGCAGTGGGCAGGGCTGGGCCAGGTGCGGGGACAGCCCTGGGACCTTTCTGTCCTCTGCAGGGCAAGGTGGAGGCTGAGTTGCACCTACTGACGGCTGAGGAGGCGGAGAAGAACCCGGTGGGCCTGGCCCGCAACGAGCCTGACCCCTTGGAGAAACCCAAGTGAGTGCGCACCGGCCTGCCCCACCACACTCAGACAGGACGGAAGAGCCAACCTCTGGGCTTCTCAGCCCCACTCCCTGGGCACCCTCTGAGCCCCTTCCTGGGCCACAGCAGGGGGCTTCCTCCCTCCGTCCTTGGCCCCTGAGTCCCGCCAGCTCCCTCTGAACCAGACGGTGGGCTCAGGCGGAACTGCTCCCCGAAGGGCTCTGTTTCAAGGTAAATCTTCTGCCTCGTTTTCGCCAATTGCAGGCAACCACGATAGTGGTATGTGGGAGCCCAGCCAGCCCTGATGGCCGGGGAGGTACCCAGAAGCCCCACACACAGCCCAGCTCGGCTTCCCTCTCAGTCGGGGCCCCATTCACACCCGACCCTGGCCCTCCCCGTCCTCTCCCCGTGCTCCCTCCACTCCTCTCCACACTCCAGCCGGCCCGACACGAGCTTCGTCTGGTTCTTGAACCCTCTCAAGTCCGCCCGCTATTTCCTGTGGCACACGTACCGCTGGCTGCTCCTCAAACTGCTGCTGCTCCTCCTCCTGCTCCTCCTCCTCGCCCTGTTTCTCTACTCGGTGCCTGGCTACCTGGTCAAGAAGATCCTTGGGGCCTGAGCCCGCAGCCTCTGGGCGCTGGTACTCCTCCCTGCTTCCTCAGGACCAAGGGCTGGGCCCCCTGTGATACGCACACTCACACACATGCAAACACACACATGTACACAAGCACATGTGTGCACTCAAGCACATACACGCACAAGCACATAGCAAACATGCACATGAGTATGCACACGTGTGCACATGTACATGTATGCATGCACATACAAGCCCACACAAACATATACAGCAACTTTCAAGCTTTCAAAACAGAATCATAGATTGGGACCAGCAGTTGGCGTAATGGCTATGTCACTGGACTCCCATGTAGTCGAGTGCAGTTCAAGTCCCGGACCCGGTGGTTTAAACTCATGCTGGGCGCGTGTGCGTGCATGCCCAAGATCCTGAGAGGAGAATGGAGGAGAAGGGATTGTGGCGTGGCCATCCCCCCTGGCGCGGGGGCGGCGATTTCTTGCTTTCTATCTGTCTCTCTCTGTCTGTCTGGAGAGCACATGCACCCTATAGCGAAAAACCTCTCAAAAAAAAAAAAAAAAACACCAGAATCACAGACTTCCAAACTAGAAATGACTATTTACGTTTTGACAGAGCAGTCCAGAGAAAGGAAGTCGCTCCCCCAAGGTCGCCAAGCACATGAGGGCTGAGCTAAGACTCCAGCCTTGGTTTTCAAATGACCAATCAGGTCACCACCCCGCCTCCTCACCCAGCAGCGTCCAAAAGACTAAGCCAGTGTCATTGGCAGGAAGAAACTGAGATATGGACAGAAGGGGGAGGCTGGGCCAGGGTAGTCAGCAAGTCCTGAAGTGGCTGCCCCACCCCTGTGCGACTTCCCAGTCCAGAGCCGTTTTCGACCTGCGGGATAATGGCCCATTCGGTCAAACCCTGGATAGCCAACACTTAGGGAGTCGCCACTTCTCAGGCTGGTGCGTCACATGCATGTCTGTCTTCACCGTCCCGCCAACCCCCGGAGGTGGGTACTATGGATCCCATTTTACAAAGGGGGAGAGGAACCTAGGCTCCGAGTGGTGCCTGACCAGCCTGTCCCAGCTGGGACTCAAGCCCAGTGCCCTACAGCCTGTGGCCCCACTGTGTT